GATCCACCCGCCTCGGCCTCCCAAAGTGCTGGGATTACAGGCTTGAGCCACCGCGCCCAGCCATTTTTTTTTTTTTTAACATGAATAATGGAAGCACTGTGCATTGTACTAATGCCTTCATAACAGATACAGAAAGGAAACTGTTCAAACTTCTCCAGATGGCGGTGACATTTTTCAGCTTGATTTGGTAGCACGACTGTGACCTACAGACAGCATAAATATGTGTGCCATCACGTGTAATTTCTTACAGACCAAGTTTGGTTCTTCTCCAATGTCTCCTTTTGGAGTTGTACCTGATTTTATTACCAGTTTTCATCCGAATCCACTGGGGAATGGGACGATTTTGCTTTTGTTTCTTGGCCAGGAATCGCTTAATCCTGAAAGTCTTGTGAGAAGACATGGCAAGAAACGGAGTAAAGCACACACCACAATGGCGGAGAAAGGAAGAGAGGAGGAATAGAATTAACATCTTTATGCACAAAGCTTTTTCATTTTTCAGATTGTTTACTTAGGTTAGAATTTTCCTATTTATTAATAATACCATCTGCTGGCTATACCGTGTCCACCCATGTTAAATATGAACTCTACAGAGATCCACAGGCTGATTGTGACCCTTGCATTTTCTTGAGTTGGGAGTAGAACTGGGATTAATTCTTAACAATTCAAATTGAAGGCACTAAATGCATGTGTATTCTGATGACACTTTTCTTTTTCTCTTTCAATTAAGCTTCCACTGCGATTCCAAAGACTTGGACACCTGGTGGCTCTGATGGCACTGCTCTGTGGGGACCCACAGGAAAAGGTGGCCAAGGAGGCTGGAGAGGGCATTCACTACCTGCTGGATATCACCCTGCGGCTGAAGTGTAAGGCACTGCTGAAGGCCGCAAGGTCCTGAGTGAATTAATTCTCCAGCACAACATAAGCACCAGCCCTCCTTACTCACTTGGTCCCCATGTTCTAGAAAGGCTTTTTACAGTAGTTCATAAGGAGAAAGATACATGGTCCATAGGCAGAAATGAAGCAACGCTGACTTAGTAATTAGAATCCTAACACTGGATCAGACCTATCATTGTCATCCATCTGCATAGTCAGGGAGTGGCTAAACATGTGGCCCTGTGGACAAACTAGAGTGTTTAGTTTGGTCAGAAGTGGCAGTAAGGCTGGATGCAGTGGCTTACTCCTGTATTCCTAGCATTTTGCCAGGCCAAGGCAGGAGAACCACTTGGGCCCAAGACTATGCTGGGCAACATGACGAAACCCCTTCTCCACAAAAAATTTTAAAAATTAGCTGGCATGGTGAAGTATACCTATAATCCCAGCTACTCAGGAGGCTAAGGGAGAATCACTTGAGTCCAGGAGGTTGAGGATGCAGGAAAATTAATTTCCTTATGAAGAGAAGTTACAGGGGCCATGAGTAAGAATCAAATCTAGTTGCAGGATTCAGAAAATGTAATCCAGAGAATAAGGAGCAATTTTCCAGCTAGAGAGGTAAGAAAAGTGTATTAGTCAGAAGAAATGGCTAAGGAGAGGATCCTTGGTAGGCATGAGCTTGAGGAGTTTGAAAAACAGAGGGCTGGTGTGGTCAAGGAATGAATCATTGACTTCTGTGGTTAGAAGGGACTTGAGAGGATATCTAACCCAGCATCCCTGCAGTGTTTGAAGCTCAATCTACTCTATCCCTATCAAGTACACTCATGCACATGTAATGACATTTCAGCCAATAGCTAATCATGTATATAACAAGGGTCACATAAGATTAGAATAGAGCTGAAATTTTTCTTTTTCTTTTCCTTTTTTTTTTTTTTTTTTTTGAGATGGAGTCTCACTCTGTTGCCCAGACTGGAGGGCAGTGGTGTGATCACAGCTTACTGCAAACTCCACGTCCCAGATTCAAGTGGTTCTCATGCCTCAGCTTCCCAAGTAGCTGGGATTACAGGCAGCCACCACCACACCTGGCTAATTTTTGTATTTTTAGTAGAGATGGGGTTTTACATCTCTACCAAATGTTACTTAATGTGGCCAGGCTGGTCTTAAACTCCTGACCTCAAGTGATCTGCCTGCCTTGGCATCCCAGAAAGCTAGGATTGCAGGCGTGAACCACCATACCCAGCCTTATTATTTTTTTTTAAGAAATGAAGTTTCCACCAGGAACAGTAGCTCACGCCTGTAATCCCAGCACTTTGGGTGGCCAAGATGGGCGATTCATGAGGTCAAGAGATCAAGACCATCCTGGCCAACATGGTGAAACCCCATATCTACTAAAAATACAAAAATTAGCTGGGCGTGGTGGTGTGCCTCTGTAGTCCCAGCTACTCGGGGCTTAGGCAGGAGAATCGCTTTAACCCAAGGGGTGGAGGTTGCAGTGAGCTGAGATCACGCCACTGCACTCCAGCCTGGCAACAGAGCAAGACACCGTTTCAGAAAAAGAAAAAAGGAACAAAGTCTCACTATGTTGCCCAGGCTGGTCTCCAACTCTTGAGCTCAAGCAATCCTCCTGCCTAAGCCTCATAAAGTGCTGGGACTACAGGTGTCTGACACCATGCCCAGCTGAACTGAAAATTTTCCGTCACCTAGTGACATCATAGCCATCATAACATTATGACACAATACGTTACTCATGTTTGTGGTGATAATGGTGTAAACAAACCTACTGCACTGCCAGTCATAAAAAAGTATAGCACCGGCCACGCGAGGTGGCTCACACCTGAATCCTGGCACTTTGGGAGTCCGAGGCAGGCTGATCACGAGGTCAGGAAATTGAGACTATCCTCACCAACATGGTAAAACCCTGTCTCTCCTAAAGTACAAAAAATTAGCCTGGCACCATGGCATGTGCCTGTAGTCCCGGCTACATGGGAGGTGGAAGCAGGGGAATCGCTTGGACCCAGGAGGCAGAGGTTGCAGTGAGCCGAAATCATGCCACTGCACTCCAGCCTGGTGACAGAGCAAGACACCGTATATTAAAAAAAAAAAAACAACTATGCTCTATGTGATGTTTGTGCAGGGACAAACATATAGCCTAATGGGGCATTTCTCAAAACATATACCCATTTCTAAGCTATGCACAACTGTAGTGGCTCTGCCTGGGTCTGCGCTTTACATGGATGAGGAAGCTCCATGCTTCCCAAAGCAGCTGTCCTGTCTTTGGGCACCTCTGAGTATGGGCAATGCCTACAGATAAACAGCCAGAGAAATAGTTGATTGTTGATTCAGGAAATATTTATGAAACATTTATTGTTCTCGTGATGCATCAGTAGACGAGACAGACAAGATGCCTTCCCCCAGGGAGCTTATTTTCTGGTTGGAGAGAGAGTTCCTCAGCCAAGGGCTCAAAGATAAATTTTCCATCTACAAATTTCCAGCAAACATGAGATCACCATAAAACATGAGAAAAACAAGGCACTACAAGTAGCGTTGGCATTCTCAATGATCAGCAAAACTAGACATGTGGGCCGGGCGCAGTGGCTCACGCCTGTAATCCCAGCA